TCATGCCTGCAATCACAGCTACTCAGAAGCTGAGGCAGGAGAATTGCTTGAACCTGGGAGGCAGAGTTTTTGCAGTGAGCCAAGATTGTGCCACTGCACTCCAGCCTGGGTGATAGCCAGACTGCCTCATACATAAATAAATTGGCAGCAGCCAGCAGGGAGCTGATTGATTCTGGAAAGAGCCCTGAGTCCCGCCTCCCGGCCAGCACCTTGTGAAGACCTCAGCTTCCTACCCTGAACTCACCTCTTGATGTCTCCGAAAAGGACGTTGCCCCTTTGCCAGACGCAACCAGCTTGCTCTCCTCCAGCACCAGTAAAAGCTTCCCAGGGGGGTGTTCTTGGGGAGCTTGCTTCCGTGGGCCCACTTGTCCACTGTCAAAAGCCCTTGGCCAGGAGCCCCTGCAAAGCAAAAGCCCAAGACACCATCCACCTTGGTCCTTGGGAGAAGGTGAAATCAAACAAACTGGTTACACCTTGGCAAATCATTTGGCCTCATTGTGCCTCAGTTTTCTCATCTGTAAAAAGGGCTTTTACATATTACTCACTTTATAGGGTTGTAATGAGGCTTTTCTGAGAGGTTTGAGTATATGTAAGAGGCATATTTGGTACAGTGCCTTGCATATAGTAATTGCTCAGTAAATGCTCAGTATTGTGGTTGTTAGCTGTAATTTAAAATCTCTCCAACCCTAAACAAGCCTCACTGAGCAGTTCAGAAGTTGCCAGGGCTTATGCTCAAGTCTGACTTCCCAGGCTACTGGGGAACAGACACAATCCTGCATGTAGTTTTTTGTTTGTTTGTTTGTTTTGAGACACAGTCTCACTCTGTCACTCAGGCTGAAGTGCAGTGGCACGATCTTGGCTCACTGCAACCTCTGCCTCCCAGGTTCAAGCAATTCTCATGCCTCAGCCTCCTGAGTAGCCAGGGTTACAGGCCCACACCACTACACATGGCTAATTTTTTTTTGAGATGGGGTTTCACCTTGTTGGTCGGGGTTGTTTCGAACTCCTGTCCTCAGGTGATCCACCCACCTCTGCCTCCCAAAGTGCTGGGATTACACGTGTGAGCCACCACACCTGACCACATGGCTAATTTTTGTATTTTTAGTAGAGACAGGGTTTTCACCATGTAGACCAGGCTGGTCTTGAACTCCTGACCTCAAGTGATATACTGACCTCAGCCTCCAAAAGTGCTGGGATTATAGGCATGAGCCTGGCCCCTTCATGCAGTTTCACTCACCTCCTTTCAGAATCAAGGAGTCTGATATTCCATCAACATCTAATCCACTCCTATAAACCAGCCTGCAATCCCAGCTGGAGAACTACAATCCAATCAGGGACTAAATCTAAATTCCTCCCATCTGATCCTTCAGATCCCTACCCATCCGACTAACCCCCCCTCCTCCAGAAATGTTACCAGTCCACTACACGCTTCCAATCACCTGTTCAACCACCAGCCAAGAGCTCACTACTCCCCCTCTCCCAAGCTTAGACACGCAGTATAATGGACATGCAACACCGGGAACTTTCACATTAAGCTCTTACTTTGAAACTTTGAACAAGAAAAAGAGTTGAAAAAGGCAGATCTCAGGCCGCGCATGGTGGCTCACACCTGTTATCCCAGAACTTTGGGAGGCCAAGGTGGGCGGATCACCTGAGGTTGGGAGTTCGAGACAAGCCTGACCAACATGGAGAAACCCCATCGCTACTAAAAATACAAAATTAGCTGGGCATGGTGGCACACCTGTAATCCCAGCTGCTCAGAAGGCTGAGGCAGGAGAATCACTTGAACACAGGAGGCAGAGGTTATGGTGAGCCAAGATTGTGCCATTGCAGTCCAGCCTGGGCAACAAGAGCGAAATTCCATCTCAAAAAAAATAATAAAATAAAAAGCAGATCTCCTAACCTCAGTGAAATTGTAGGTAAAATTCCAAATAGAATATCCAAATTAAATGGTATAAGTAATGCTAATATATCATAATGTATTTATTATATGCATATATAAGATATATTTGGAATATATAGGTATTAGGTATTCTAAATTTCTATTATCTATCTATCTATCTTCATCTATCTATAGTCACCCCAAAGGCTAAAATAAAGTTTTCTGGGATTCCTTCTCTGGGTCCCCTCACACAACAGTATGGGAGCTTTCTTTCTCTGTCTCTCTAATAAATCGCTTTTCTGGAAAGAAAAGAAAAGAAGAAAAGAAAAAAAAAGAGAAAGAAAGTTTTCCACACTCAAAAGGGAAATGGGGCTGGACTCAGTGACTCACACCTGTAATCCCAACACTTTGGATTGCTCGAGGCCAGAAGTTCAAGACTAAGACCAGCCCCAGTAACATAATGAGATCCTGTCTCTACAAAAAATATAAAAATTAGCCAGGTACGGTGGTGTGCGCCTGTAGTCCCAGCTACTCAAGAGGCTGAGGTGGGAGGATTGCTGAGCACAGGAGGTGGAGGCTGTAGTAAACTATGACTGCCCCACTGCACTCCAGCTTGGTAACAAACTGAGACCTTGTCTTGGAAAAAAAAGAGAGAGATAAAGTGAAATGCAATAAATTATACATCCTTTCATGACAAGAAAGAGCTAGAAGAATAACACGTGGCAGGTCCTGGTTTCTCTGAAGGGGCTGTTGAAATCAGCTCTATGATCAGAAGGGGACGTGATTGTAGGTGGAGGCTGGAAAAAGGCTCTTTGGGCAACTGTTTAGATTTTGGGTTAAACCATTTGCACAGCTTGAAAAATATGCTCTCAAAAAAAAATCTATCCAGCATCCATCTATCTATCTATATGTCTATCATCTATCTATCTACCTATCATCTATCATTTATCTATCATCTATCTATATGTCTATCATCTATCTACCTCTCTATCGTCTATCATCTATCATCTACTTGTTTTTCATCTATCATCTATCTACCTATCTTTTTTTTTTTGAGACAGAGTTTCACTCTTGTTA